TGGATCAGAATCAACTTGACAGCACTTAATAACAACAACATATACATGGGGGTCCTGGTGTGGCGCTGTGGGATAAAGCACTGGACCACAAGGTCAGTGTGAACCACAAGGTCGGCAGTTCAAACTCACCAGTTGCTCCTTGGAAACCCTATACAGGGTTGGTATGAATTGGAACCGACTCGATGGCACTTCACATCAACAACAAGCTCTATGCAATAGATTTCAATTATAGAAAGGGTTACATAGGGTTACATTTGTTCTGTGAGTTTCATGTTTTGTATGTTTAGAAAAGATGTAAGTTCTATAGCTCTTCCAAGCTTGGGTAGACTTTGCTTGCTCCTTCCCCTTATCTGGTGAGAACTCGCCTAGGCTATGAAAAATTCATTGAAAACTTAAGTTCGAACGGCCAACAAACACCCCATCTTGGGAGGTTACCAAAAGAGAATTATTCACTGAGCTCACTATTTCAGTGAATTCGAGCTGTTTCTGTAGCTTCTACAACATTTGCTGCATTTGTTAGTTCTTAGGTCTGTCCTGCCATTAACCCAGGGCACCCCAAGGGGGATGCCTGGGTTGGCCTCAGGGCCAACACCTGGCACAGCCCAGGCCTGCAAAGCATTGTGGGAATGGGTACTTGGCAAGAGGCACCACTGCTGAGGCACAGGAGAGCACAGAGCCAACCCCATGGCTGCCTAGGACAGAGGGCAGTGCCTAGCATGGGAGTGGGCCATGCCCACAGCTCTGCCGGTCAGTAGAATTGCATGGCAAAGAGTCCCACTTCTCCTCTGCCCTGGACTTCTGCAGGCTGCAGAGAACGTTAACAACTTCCTTTTTTATTATTATTAAACATAAAGCCCCACACTGCCCACTGGTTCCCTACCAGGCCCTCAGACCATGAGAAGTAGCACCCAGCCCGGGTTCCCAGCTTCCCCCAGCCTTCAGTGTGGCACTAGTGTCAAGGGCTCTGCCCTGCCAGGGTGTTAGGAGTAGGAAAGCCATCCCTAGAGACATCCATGCTCTAGCCCTTGCCCTGAACCTCACTGTCTGTTCCACTGGGCCAGAATCCAGATCCATGGGTCAGAAAATGCACTCAGTCCGTGAAGAATGGCCCCACCCTGCTCTCACATTCTGCATCACTGCCTGCTTTTTGCCTCCCTCTCTCATTGTCCCCTCTACCTTTCTTACCTGCCACACACAGTCCAGATGGTTCCCATCTGAGCCCCATCCCACAGAATCCCCACACACAAACTCCACTCCAGCCGAGATGAGCCTGTTGTGCAGCAAACATCATCTTGTTATGAAGTGCTGTCGAGTCGGTTCCAAGGAGGGACTGGTGAGTTTGAACCACCGACCTTGAGGTCCAATGTTTATCCTTCAGTGCCATGCCCGGACTCCAAACGTTATTTTAGTTGCTCTGGAAGCTCAGAGGCTGGTCGGGGATGCAGCCCAACATAGACAAGCAAAGAAAACCAAAGAATTATAGTCCCGAGGGATGGGAGTGTTCAGAGCTGGGAGAGCTCAGAGGAGTGGAGGTGAGACTCCACCAGAAAGGTAACATTTGATGAGTACGAAAGATGAGTAAGAGTTTGCCAGATGGAAGAGGTAGGAGGTAGGAAAGCATCTCCAACAGAGGGAACAGCATTAGCCAAGACCAGAAGGTGAGGCCGCCATGTCCTGTCCAGGAAGAAGTCGGCAGCAGATAGAATGGGGTGAAGACTCAGTTGTTGAAGTGCCGTCGAGTCAGTTCCAACCCATAGCGACCCTGTATAGGGTTTCCAAGGAGCAGCTGGTGAACTCGAACCACCGACCTTGCAGTTCAAACCGACTTTGCAGTCCAGTGTGTTAACCCACACAATGCCACACCAGGACTCCTAAGCCTCACTTTTGTTGTTGTTAGATGCCTTCGAGTCGGTGCCACTGACTCATAATGACCCTATGCACAACACAACGAAACACTGACGACGCTAAGACAGGATGTCCAGGGGCCGGGTTCCACAGGCCTTGAATGCCAGGTTAAAGACTTGGCATGATTCTGAAGAAATAGCAGTCTTCATGCCAAGTGCAGTTCTGCAAGGAGGATTGAGGAGACCTCTGGCCTGATCTAGGTGGGCAATAAGGGGGTGTCCAGGCACAGGTGGGTGGTAGCCAGGATGTAAAGAAAAAAGAAAATTATACAGTTGCCTTCAAGTTCATTTCTACTCAGGACAACCCCATGTTTCTCAGAGCAAAACTGTGCTCCATGGGGTTTCGAAGGCTAAGTTATCAGAAATAGATGGCCAGACATTTCTTCTGCAGCATCTCAGGATGGTCTTGAACCTCCAGCCTTTTGGTTTAACAGTCATCTAGGTGAGCGATACTGAGAGGGTCCAGGCATGGGTGGCCGTGGCCATGATCTGGGTGAACTAGCAGGAGTATCCAGGCATGTTCTAGACATCTTTCCCCCACCCCCCATGACTTCCACCTTCACCCAAGTCATGTGGAAACCAAGTCTTGTGAGCTGCTCACCTGTGTGCCCACCTGGCTGCCTGTTGCTCCCTGCTAGAGAAACGTCCAAGTGGAGAACTTTATTGGGCCTACGTAAGCATGGACACAGTGCTTCACGGGCTCTCTGCTCAGGACCAGAGTGTCTGTGTGCTTGGTACAAGCACCAGGAGAGTGAATCCGTCACAGAGGGCTCAGGAGCTACCACGAAAGCAAAGGGTCAGGGAGTTGTGAAGACAGGCTCGTCCAGACTGAGGAAGGAAGATATCCCAGGTTGTGACTGGGATATGCCAAGATCTGTATGAGTTGAAGAAGAGTCATGTGAACATTTGTCATCCTGGTCATTGTGGGGACAGCAGGCTTCAAGATACAGGCTCTCTGCCCTAGGATAGTCCACTCAGAGGGAGGCACCCAGTTGGGTGTGTCACACCTCATTCTCCATCAGTTACTCTCAGTCCCCCATCCCTGGACTACCCTTGCTCACCACAAGTAGCTCAGAGACCCTGCTGACAGGGGACAAAATGCCCACATCTCCATGACCACCACCTCTCTGAGCAGGTACACGTCTTTTCATCATCTGGAGACTGTGTTCTCAACAAGCCCCGGGGCTGGGGTGCTCACCCGCCACCCTGCCACACAGGGTGTTGAGAGTCACCACAATGGGAAGTTTCGCAAGTTCCTATGAAGGAAGGCCACAGACACAGGGGCTTGAGAACTCATCTAGAGGAGCCCACTATGAAGCACTCAGCTGCTAACCAAAAGATTGTTAATTCAAACCCACCAACCGCTCCACCACAGAAACATGTGGCATTGTGTTTCCATAAAGATGATAGCCTTAGAAACCCTGTGGGGCAGTTCTCCCTGTCGGATCTCTGAAACTCTTCACCTGGAAAATGGGGACAGTGGTCAGATTGACCGTCAAGACAGAAGTTCGGAGATCAGTGAAAGAATGGATGTAAAGCAAGTAGCCAGGGGCTGGTGCAAAGCAAGAACTCCTTGAGTGTTTGTTCCTATTACTGGCCTTGCTAGGTGTGGTAGCTTTCTTACTGACATGTCCCTCCCCGAAGGCTGGGTGAGAGGCTGGAGGCCTGGTCCCAGCTCAGCCCATTCTTGAGATTCTGCGTACCTAAATCTCGATCCACCTCAGAATCAACAACCTGAACAAGACCTGGGCCCCATGTTCCCTTCCATGCAAGGGTTGCTTGAGTGCGCTTCAGAATGGACTACAAGCCAACTGAAAGTAACTGTTGGGTTTTTGTGCCTTTTTTGGGTGGGAGGATAGGGGGCTAGAATCCTGAGCTTCCAGCAGATTCCCTGTGGAGGTGGTACCCTGACTGAGGTCAAGAACTCCCTGATGCTCTTTCAGCTCGACTGTTCTACCAACCTGATTCAGGACAAGCACTGGAGGGTCAGGCCTCCTTAGAGTCACCACGATGGTGGCGGTGGCCAGGGCTGAGCTCGTGAGGACTGGGCTAATAGAATTCATTTAATAGAGAGCTCTTGCTGACTGCCGGAAGACCAAGCCAATCTGTGTTGGAAAAAGTAAACCAGAATGCTCCTTAGAAGCCAAGGTGGCCAGGTTTCATCTCCTACTTGGGACATATTACCAGGAGGGAACAGTCCCTGGAGAAGGACATCATGCTTGATTAAGTGGAGGGTCAGCAAAAAACAGGGAGACCCCCAGCAAGATGGATTGATTGGCACAGTGGCAGCAGCAGTGAGCTCAAGCGTAGCAACAATTGTGAGGTTGGCACAGGACTGGGCAGGGTTACATTCTGTTGTGCAGAGGGTCGCTATGAGTCAGAATCGATGTCATCTAACAACAACAAGGTATCCATGTGCTCTGTCTCCCTTCACCTGGATGCATGGGACCGGCTTTGTATTTTAACATAGAGCTTGACCTGAGTCAAGATCATTTTGCAGCTACCAGGGGTTCCTTGCTTGGGCAGGAAGATTGGATCACCCTGGTCACAAGCCGTGGGCTCATTCTTCCAGCATATAACCCTCACAGTGGCCAAAATCAGCCTAACAATTCGTACTTACTAAAGCACCTCTCCTGATACAAACTGATTTCCTCCTTAAGAGCTTGTGGTGGAGTTTTGTCATCCCCCTGTTCTAGAGATGACTAGACTGAGGCCCAGAAAGGTCAAGTGACCAGCCCAGAACACCCCATTGGACAGGACTGGTACTTCTGTTCCCTCGGTGCCCACCTGCCTAACTGTACCCAGCCCTACTTCATGGTTCCCTCCTAGGTAGGCTCTCACACACCGAGGGATGGAACTGCAACTGGGCCTCCCTGCCTACCCGCCATCACCTCCCCCTGCCCCAGTGCCGTTGGGGAGCATTGTGGGGCTTCCCCCTAGCCAAACAGGAAGTGGTGGGAGAGGTTTAAAACAGCCCAGAAAGGAAAACAACCCAGAACAGTGAAGCAAACGCTTGGGGCCGTCCTGCCAAACATCACCTTCTGGGGCTGCAGGCCACTCGACCACTGACCACCTCCCCTGCTCTTGTCTCCACAGGTTTCTGGGACTCCTCACTGAACCCCCGGAGAGCAACGGGGAGCACAGCAGAGCCTCCCAGAGACCCGGTTCCTGGGGCACCCCCAGTCACCAGCCTCAAGCCCACAGCTCATTACGCCAATTGCTCCTGTGAGATCCAGCTGGCGGTGGGGAATGACCGCTTGTGGTTCGTGAACCCCATCTTCATCGAGGACTGTGGCGGCACCCCACTTGCAGACCTTCCACCCCCTGAAAGCTGCCCTGTGCGCCTGCTGGCCCGCACATCCGACACCTCTACCTCACTGGCCTCCCGGTGGGCCCCACGTCGCCCCCCACCTCCACCCCC